CACCAAGTAAATGGCTTCATCGAACAGATCAAATTATAACGATCCTATAAGTATCGGGATGCATCAAACTTATAATATGCGCAAGAGAGGAACTAACTCCAACAAGTCACTCAATGTCTAAGCTATTTCGTTTTGCATAATATCTCGTTTCATCTAGAGCGGATGTGGCGGCCATTTATATAGTCGATCGGTGTATGCGTATATATATATATATATAAAACCCAACATAGAGTGACTTCAACTTCCTCTCCTTTCCCCCTTGTTTCCTAACTTATATTCCTGTCTTCAGGTGTGACTGGAATTTTTCCAGTTCACGGAATCGAATCGAATCCCTTATGTACAAACTGTGCGAAATAATCCAGGAACTTAAATTGTATCATAAAAAGGGGATATATATCCAAAACGGATATAAATGAATTGAATTATTCAGTGGGCCAAAATCGTCTAATGCTCCAAAATCCCAAAGGTTTTAGAACCTAATGTTAAAACAACATTCTAAAAATGTTCCATGTTCCAAAAACGTTTAGATGAATTTTCAGAACTATTTGAGCAGAAATTAACATTCTAAAATCATTGGAACATAGAATGTTTTGTGTTCACTCAGATCAGAAAGAAACAAACAATTTTAAAGGCAAAAATTAACGAAAAGTATATATGTAAAATCAATTAGCATCCCAGAGGGCAAAAAAATCCAATGAATCGTTATTAGAACCTAACTGTTAAAACAACAAGAACGTTTTATGTTCCAAAATTATTTAAATGAAACCTTTTCAGAACGTTAAGCAGAAAACTTTCTAAAAATCATTGGAACATAGAATGTTTTGTGCACCCAATCGGATATGAAATATTTTTGAAAGCAAAAATTAACGAAAAGTATAAAAGAATTATTATCCCAGTGGGCAAAAAATCCAATGAAGTAAACTGATATTAGAACCTATCTATTAAAACAACAATCTAAGGATGTTTCATGTACCGAAAACAATAAAACATTTTCAAAACTTTATTTGTGCAGGCATTAACTTTCTAAAACCGTTATTATGGTTTGTACCCACAGGAATATAAAAGGAACAAATAATTTTAAACGAAAAAATTAAGAAAATGTATGTAGAAAAAATTATCATCCAAGTGGACCAAAAAAAACCGCCTATAACCAATAACGTTCCAACTAAATGTTAAACCCAATATTCAAATAACTTTTAAACACACAGAAATACCAAAAAAAAAAATTAGATAATTAGAATCAAGGGATTTAAAGAAGCTAATATCCATTAGGAAAGAGAAACATTAACCAAAGTGCATCATGACAAGCAAATTGAGAATCAGGTTCTTAATGTCCTAAAAAAAAACCCATACTTCCAATCATTTTATTCGCAGCTCGTGGATTTTCAATTCTCATCATGCCATCAAAAAGGCGAGATCAGATTTTGCAATAACAATAAAGAACTTTAACACCAATGGGAATTTATATACAAACAGTATAATTTATCCCGAAATGACACGCGAGAAAAGATCTTTCAAAACAAAACAAGTTTCTTTTGATAACAAAATTGCATTAACATTTTCTATAAACTTTATAACTTCCCATCAAAAATTACCATCACCACCAAAAAGGCCGGTATTTATATACAATTATAGAAAAGAATATTTAAATCCTCCTGTTTATTATTCAATAAACGTGTAATTTTATATTTTATGAAGTCTGAGGGGAAAAAAAAAAATTTGAATTTACGACTCGATTCAATATATGCGATGAAGTGGTACGAAGGAGATTACGAGCAGTTAAAAATGGTACGAGGGCATATCCCGCGCGTCTCCGGTTCAACGACGTGTTTACGGATTAAAACATCGTGTCCCACCGGAGCAGCGGCCTTTCTTTTGTCGGATTATGAAGCGTTTCAATGTTATAGCCAAGGTTCACACAGCTTCTTCTTATATATATATATACGTCTCTCTGACAAACGTCCGATCCTTTCAGATCAGTCGCATCGTTGGTATGTGTCTTTCTTTGGAAAAGACACGAAAGAGAAAAAGAGTAAGATCGCAAAACTTTGGGATACCCTACAAGGATTAACCTCTCTATATAATACTGAAACTATATCTTTGATGGTCTGGATGGGCACGTCGCGGTCTACCGTACCAAATTACGAAACACATATCCCGCAAAGAGCTTCTGGAATTTTTTTCCCCAATTTTCTCTTTCCATAATTTACGACACCTTTAAAATAAACTTCCCGGTACCAGTAAAAAAAAAAAAAAAATTCTAGTTCAAGAAACATGATACAGAAATTTGAAAATATTTACTAAGAAAAAAAGAACCATTTTCCACTTGAGTGAAACCGTCATAAGCTAAATGAAAAAAAAGAAAACGGACCATAGAAAATGTAATTATTACGCTTTCTAAAATTGGAGAATTCTAAACGTTTCAAATTTATAATTAGAATGATTTTCTTGATGGCAAAAATCGAAGGTCTTCCAAATAATTGAGCCTTCCAAATATTTACCGTTTCGCATTTAAAGAAATACGTGTCAATTTTACAGGTAGGGAAAAAAAAATTAAAAGAAAAAAGATATTTTTCTTACCCGCAACAAGTGTTTACGCCTGATTTTACGGGATAATTTTTAACAATAGTTTTTTTTTCTCCAAATGTCAATTTCTTTAGAAATCAAAACCATATACTTTGTTGGCGGAAGTGAATCACTGCGCTATTTAATCTCGTATCGGATATCAAGCATATACTGATTATATTACTTTGATAAAAGTATACTAAGAAGAGGTGAATAAATAGCGTAGCATTTTTTTTCCCCCCTCGCTACTATTCTTTTAATGAGGGGTTATTAAAAACGTTGAAAAAAAATAATAACTTCATTAAGAACGTACACCTGTATTAATTCCTATATAGAAGAATGTTTGCTATAGTAGCGAATTTTGCAAAAAAAAACTGCTCGTTACAAGAGACAGAAAATATAACTTCAAGAAAATGTTAATTTTATTCAACAAATTACTTCTCGGCAAAATCAAATGAAACCGAATTATACAGGAGTCATAAACGAATTAGTGCGGATCAAAGTTGATTGGATTTCACATGCCGGACCCCCGGGCGAGCAGATGCTCCTTCACCAAGCAGGAAATTCACGTCCACTAATCTATTGTACTAATCGCAATATATATTCAAGAAAAGCAGAAGTTCGAATCAGTTAAGGAGGTCTTGCTTGAGTGCAGTGATACACACCAACGAGCGCAAACAACAATATATATATATATATATACAAATACAATATAGATATAAATAAAAACTAGTTGATTTATGAAAACGCTCGTAAATTTCCTTAAACGCGAGTCCTTCGAAGTGAAAGATCAATAGAAATAGCAATGCGTTCCGCCGTGATGGCGCAGTAATGCAAGGGGGAAGAAGTTCCTACCTACAACAACGTTGGGTAAGAATTTGATCGATTCACTCGATCCGGTCGCGACCAAGACAAAGACAAGACAAAGGGCGCAGCAACTCGATGAAACCGGCCCTTACAGTCACTCCTCCAAGAGTATATATGTGTATACATATATATATATACCTACATCGAGGACAACGTGACTTCTCCACCTGACAGTGGCCCACAGATTTATCACTATGCCTCTTTCGAACCAGATATCATCTCGCCTCCGCGTTCTCGTGTCTCGTCATATGTAATCCTGGCGCTCTGGACAGCTTATCTATTTATATGGCATTTCTTTTAACTCGATGTGCCGCACCACACACTCGCCCCTCTGCCAAGTTTATATATTTATAATGGAGATGCACAATTTTGCCACAATGCTTCTGAGTGGAGAAAAAGAGTTGCTACTTTGGCTAATATTTAGCTATTTTCGCTAATATTTAGTTAATCTATATATACTGTATACTAGTGTATCATGTAGCTACTATACTATAGTAATATACTATTTAGTTGCTAAATATTAGCTATAGTAACTAAATATTAGCTGTAGTAACTAAATATTAGCTACTGGAACTACTATTCACCTTCTATACTGTACTATAGTATTACTATACTTTACTACTATAATATTTAGTTACTATAGCTAATATTTAGCAACTATACTATACTAATGTACTATTTAGTTACTAAATATAAGTTACTATAACTAATATTTAGCTTTTATACTGTAATACTTAGATACTATAGCTAATATTAGCTACTATACTGCACTACAATAACAGTTAGTTACTAAATATTAGCTACTTTCCTTAATTTGTAGCATACTATAACTAATATTTAGCTTCTATACTATACTACTATAATATTTGGGTACTATAGCTAATATTTATATACTATTCTGTACTATACAGTACTATTTAGTTACTAAATATTAGCTACAATGACAAAATATTTAGCTACTAAACCTAATATTTAACTACTTTAGCTAATATATTTATCTACCTCAGTTAATATCAAGTTAATTTAGCTAAAACTGTAGTAAACATAACCTAAAATTCGTTTTCTTCTAAGGTCCCTTTCTCCAGATCTCGTTACAAATAAAGAATTAAATATAAATAAAAATAGCCCTTTTTTCGAAAACTTTTTTTTTCGCGACTTTATTTGTTTATTCTCCCCCTCTCTTCCTCTCAGTGTACTTATGATCCCACATATATCGATAATTTATACCCGAAACACATTGTCTGACTTATTTTCGTTCGTTAACCTCACTCTATACCTGTGGAGTGATTGATGTTACCCGAAGGGTTAACCACACACATGATTTCAATGCATATGAGAAAAAGAGAGTGAGAGAGAGAATAATTCCTCGAAATTTTCAATATGACGTGTACTTTTGCGAATTTTTTTTTTCCTCGTATTTGTATATACAAGTTCATCCCGGTGCTAATATATATTTTTCATTTTTTTTATGATAAAAAAAGCAAAGTTTGCAAATATTCTTTTTATAAATTAATTATTTGATAATTATTTATTAAATAATTATAATAATATAAAATTGAGAGACTCACCAGTAGATGAACGAAATTGGACCTACCTGAAACATAAATTTATAACATTAATAACAAAATAATTTTTTAATTAGTAGTACACAAGGTACAAAAAAATATAATAATGTATATTAACGTATTATAGGCAATAATAATAATAATAATAATAATAATAATAATAATAATAATAATAATAATAATACTATTATTAATTAATAATAAAAAAATAATAATCATATTATAATAATAAAAAAATAACAATAGCAATAATAACTTCGGGATCTGGAATTGTAAAATAAATAAATAAAAATAATTACACCAATAAAATTGTAAAAAATCTATCAATACAATGTATAAATTAAAAAAAAAAAGAATATAGTTTAACTCGAAAGTGATTTCATTTAATTTCAATTGTATTGAAGATAAGTGCCTGAAGTTATTCGAAACATGTTTCCAAGTGAAATACTAGACCGACTATAAGGCATCATAGCGCACATATAAAAGACTATAAACACAATGGCGCGTTTCGATTTTATCTCCATTTGCAGATCTTATACGGATAGACAAGAGAACATTCAACGCAATCTATAACTCTATATATATAATACAATGACAATATATCGCAACTAGAAATAGCTCCGATTACATGTGTATGGAAGACATTTGCTATAGAAGAGATGGTACCATATGTATATATATATATATGTGGTGCAACTTAAACCATATATGCAATAATAATAATCCCTTATCAGAATAATGTGATCGCAAAAAAAAAAAAAAAATTAAAACGCAGACTTTTAACGACAGAGAATGAGAGACGATCATTTCAAATTACAAAAATAAATACACAAGATTTCTTTCCATTGTTAATGATATAAAAAAATATATTTAAAACAAATATATTTATTTATTTTAAATATATTTTATATATATTATATTATAAATACTATATATATAATATAAATAAATAATTATAATAAAATATTTATAATAAATATATATAAGAAAAATAAATATTGTTCAATATTATTAAACAATAATAATAATAATGTGAAAAAGGGAAATGAAAACTGTTAATTGAAATGAAAATATCAAGCAGCATATGTTATTCATCATATATGTGTTAAGCCACTATATGTCGTTATATCTAACAATCAAGTCATTGCAATAAATTGCAGAATTGCAATACTGAGAAGTCTCTTAACTTTTAAGTGTATACGATGACACCTGTCTTGCTCACTGGTATATATATATATACATATATACATTTATATAAAAGATTCCAAACTCTCGATAAGACTCTTCTTCAACTTCTGGACCTAAAACGCCTACGCGAAATTCCTCCTCTCTCCTGCGAGAGATAAAATCTGCAAATGTACTGCAGATAGTGAAGTGCTTTGAAACCTGTTCATGACAACACATGTTCTCGATTACATTGAAACGAGATAGAAATTCAACTCTTCTCTCTTTCTCTCTCACACAATTTTGTTTATTTGGTACACTCTGCAACTTATTGAAAATGACAATCATTCTTTTCGAATTTTCCCAAAAAAAAAATTTTTTTTATTTGTATCAATCAAATATTTATTTCTACCAAACAAATATTTTCATTTGTATCAAATAATTAATTATATCGAAGTAATATTTATTTGTATCAAACAAATTTTCTTTGAAATAACCAAAAAATTGTATTACTACAAAAAAAAAATATTTCCCTACTTCAAAAAATCTTTTCCATAACTGTAACCTAACTATAAAATAAAAATAATTTAAAATAATTTTATTCCTAGAAAGCAATTGCCCAAATTTCCGGTGTGACTAAAATATTTCAAATCTGTTATTCAAAAAACACGACCCTTTGTATAAGCAAACAAACCTATCTCAATCTTTTTATTTCTATTTATTTTTTTTTTCCTTTTTATCTCAGAGGATACAAAAATCATTAAAATTTTTCATTGATTAAATTTCAAAAGAAATTCAAGAGTTCTTTTGTTCGAAACAAATCATTCTATTCGTGGAATATTCAATTAGGATGTGTGGGGGAAGCAAGATTGAAATAATCCAAGTATATATATATACTCGATATCAACGCCACTATATATACTATATATATATATATATATCCATGTGAAACGCGATTGACAGATTCGTTAAAACACGCCATTATTTATTCGAGCTAATCGTTTGTAGGTCTAATGGAATAAGGTCGTCAAGATCAAGCGAGATCGTTCGACGTGATCAAGACTCCGCACCGAGATTCATTCTCTCAACCTCGCTGACGGGGTCATGATCGTACTGTATCAGAGTGCGGAGGAGAGGAAGGCTCAAGAAAGACAGACACACGCGGGGTCCGTCCTTTTTCTTTTTCTTCTTCTTTTTTTTTACTCGACATATATAACGTCCACCACGTATAGTGAAACAGATGATAATCGCAAGAATAAGACGTTGGAATGCTCGTGAGATGTCTCTCATCTACTTACATATATATCAAAAAACCACCGTCAATGATGAGTCATTACTTTTTTTTTTTTTTTTTGATAAAACAAAAAATGTGTAATGTTTCAAATTTTAGAATGTCTTAATCAGAATGTTTTAACATCACTTTACTCACTTTACTATCGAGGTAATAGTGGTACATTTTAGAGAAAGCAAAAATTAATTTTTTAAGAATATGTGAAAATTTTACAGAACTTTACAGAACTGGTTTGGAATCTATAGAAAGTGGATTAATTCTAACTTTAGTAACACAAAAAAATGTATGAAACTTACAGAACTGGTTCGGCATTTACAGAAACTGAAGATTCATTTTTAAATTTAGCAACACCAAAAACCAAAAACTATAAGGAACTTACAGAACTGGTTCTGTATTTACAGAAACTAATTAATTTTTCAAACCCTAATAAAATTCACGAATTTTGAAAAACTAGTTCGGCTTTTACTGAAACTAGGGATTAATAAACACCTAATAAATTTAAGGAACTTTACAGAACTAGTCCTTCTTTACAGAATCTGAAGATTAATTTTTAATTTTAGTAACATCTAAACACTTTAAGGAACTTTACAAAACTGGTTTAGTATTTACAAAAGCTAAAGACTAATTTGTAACCCCTAATAAAATTCACTAACTTTACAGAACTTTTTTGGAATTTGCAGAAACCGAAGATTAATTTTTCAATTCCTTATAAAATTCACGAATTTTGAAGAACTGGTTCGGCACTTACCGAAACTAGGAACTAATAAACACCTAATGCATTTAAGGAACTTTACAGAACTGGTTCGGCATTTACACAAACTGAAGATTAATTTTACTATCAAAAAAAAACTTTAAGGAACTTTCAGAACTAGTTCTGTGTAATAATAATTATTAGAATCAGTAATTACAACTCAAAAAATACAACTAAAAGCAACCAATTGAAAATTTAAGAACAGAAAAGCAACGATCAGAAAAGGTTTATTACTTAAAAAAAACTGTTACATATATATAAATTAAAAGGGGGGAGGGGGGATTTCAGGAAATACTTTAGGGTCGTTGAAAAATCAATTCCTGGAAGGTCCTCTCCTTTATAATTTGATCATTGTAAATCGTGCGGCTACCCCAATTTTCGAAACCAACGAGCAAAAGTCGTCAATTGGGGGAAAATAAATTCTCAATTGGCTGCGGGGCGAAAAATACCCGCATGCGTTGTTATGAAGTTTCTCTCTCTCTCTCACTCTTTCTCTATCTTTCTCTCTTTAAAGCGAAGTGTGTGACAGCGTGTAATCTCAAACAACTCAAAGAGCAAAATAACAGGTTCGTTTTGCCCCGTTCAAAATGAAGAGAACGCGCGGCGCACGAACATATATAAAATACTGAAATGTTATTTTTGAAATTTCCTCTCTCTCTCTTTCTCTCTCTCTCTCTCTCTCTCTCTTGTTAAATGTAAAAATACATCACTACATATACATAGTCTCCAGATAAATAAGCGATTAAATGCGCATGACGATTTCATGTACAAAATTTAATGCTATAGAAAACTACTACTACCTTCTTCAGAAAGGATCAATTGCAGAGGAAGTGCGACCCCTAGGGCGTGTTTGAACTTCATGACGAGAAGAGAGAGCGCGATCTTTTTTCCCGGCATGTAATTTTACCCGATGTCGAGGAATTTTAAATCTGAGTCAGAGGTTTTCAACTTTCAGTTATTATTATGTTTAAAATAAAATATGGAAAAATTTTATAAATATTATTTATCAATTTTGGTGAAAGGTATTATTATTATTTCTTATATTACTATTTTCTATTATTATTACTTATTATTATTATTATTATTATTATTATTATTATTATATTTCTAATTCGATTGAATCGCAACGTCCGTTAAAACTGTGTTTATACAACTGTTTATTGCCTTTTTTTTCATACTCATTTAAAAGAAAAAATGCATTTATCTCTGGGGTAAAATGATAGAAAATAGAAATCTACAGCTTGAAATCTATAAAGGCAACTTTTGCAAGATAGTTTATTGGAGATCATTACAAGATATCTTGATCTTGGTGCGAGCATCTTTCCCACACTCTCTAGTATAAAACCCTCCGACCATCGTTACCTGCCACCGAATCCCTTTTATCTTTACAATCACACAAGCTATATATATATTTCTCTTTGAGTCAATTCGATGAGCGACAGGAGTCAAGTCAAGAGTCAGCATATACATATATAGCGATCAACGAATCGATTCGACGGAAGTAACTATATATATACATACACAGAAGGTTGATTCGCGGATATATATATATAAGATCTGAAATCATTCGCCGACGCGTCTGTCTATGACACGATTTAACGATGATATCGCGAAGTAGCAGCGAACCGAATGAATACCAAGGAATCAATCACCCACTGATAGAAGTTGCGATATCGAATAAAATTCTCGATCGGCTTTTGCACCAATCGTATATACATATACATACTAACTCTCTTGAATTTATAATAATACCTTCGAGGTGCATTTTATATATATATATATACATATATATATATAAAGACGTTGAGAATGGCACAAGTCTA